TTTAAAAAAAAAGAATTTCGAAAGCGAAAAGAGAAGTGTTTTTCCTTCGAAACGATCCGACAAAAAACTCATTTTATTTCCCTTTCTAAGAAGTGCGAAAAAATGCACTCTAGTTATTCTCTTTTTTGTGTGGGAGAGCAACAGGAAGCTATGAGCATGTCTGAATAAGAAAAATATATAAAAAAAACAAGAAAGGAAGACAATGGAAAGGAGCCCCCATTTATGAATAATTTGTGTTGGCAAACAACGAGCAGAAAAAAAAAGAGAAAAAATTGTTGGATAGGAAGTATGTGTCGTTTGTATTCATAGGTTTTGTCGTTGACACTTTCCAGTCCTTTTACTTTGAAAGACCAAATTTTTATTACATCTAACAAGACAAAAATAAGTAAAAACCAAAAATCATTCAGAGAAAAAAATTGTTTGGCTTCGATTCTGTGATGATTCATGAAATTTTAAGATTTCCAAGATGAATCATTAACAGAAAGTTCGAAGATGATGATGACGCACAGCACACTACAACCCGGTAGAACTGATAAGACATTGTGACAAAAAAAAACAGTAAGAATGACGACATAAAAACATAGGAAAGTTTCCAAACAGTTGAATCCTATGTATTCGCCTTTCACTTTGAAATCCATTAGATTAAAATTACAAAAACAACCACTTAGTTTTTACCTCTTTATCTTCCAACTACTGTCCTTTTTTGGCCGTGTGGCTTCGATTTCAATTTCATTTCAGGTCGGAATCACCACCCACGACGAGACTTTGCACTCGGTGTCAACGACAAGAAGGCTTGTTGCGGCGTCTTAAAAAAACACACACACATATTTTTCAACTCGGGGCCCTCTATTTTTTCTGATGAGCTTCTTCTCTCTTCCGCTCCCACCCTTCTCTCCCACACGGGATGATGTGATCCTACGCGGGAGGTGAAAAAGCGAGGTTGAAGGATGCGCAGATTGCCCCCGAGAAAGTGAGAGATAGTAGGTGAAGGCGAAAAAAATCTCTCGGAAGACAATTTCGAAACTATTCGAAACTTTTCGAACCTAGGCTGACGAGAGTGATAGGCGTTATCAAGATAGAATAGTTTCGAAACTTTTCGGAGAAATTCGAAATAATATTTATTATCTTTTTTCTAAAGTTGTTTCTGGAAAACGAAATAATCACAGATCGATCATCGGGAAACACCCAAATTTCAGCTTTGACGTATTGTTTAGTGTTTGTCTCGGTCTCTTCCCGTGACAAATGGGGAGAGGAGAAGAAGAACAAGAAAAAAGATAAAAAGGTTTATGTTTGTCAAAAAAAAGAAGTTAATCGTTAATCTCTGAGCCTCTCGGTAGGTGGTAGGTAATTTCACTTCAATTCTCTCTCCTTCCTGTTCACAAATCAGCACGGCACCAATTGAATTCCAACATACACACGCACAATATCTTCCCCCGGGAAGGGCTCAAGTTTCAGAAAAATGAGCACAACTCATTGAAAATTTCTGATGTTTGGTTGAGGGACCCTCTCACTCTTTTTTTTCAGTCTTTTTTTGCTTGCTTTGAGAGAAGAAAATGAAAAAAGGAAGGAAGGGGAAGAAACATACTCACAAGTTGACTAGGGCTGCTTCACTCAACCACCCTCACATTTACACAGGAAGTTGTTGCAGGAAATTGGCTTTTTAGAGAGAGAGAGAGAAAAAGATTCTCCAAAAATAGAAAAGAAAGAGGATAACAAAAGCTCTAGAGGTCCAAGTTCAGAACATAGACCAGTCTCATTAGGTATGCATTCTTGGTACAAGTTCATTTTTCTCATTACGCACGTTCCCTCCACTGACTCATACAAGAAATGGACATTCAGAAATAACCCTACAAATGGAGAAAAATTGAAGTCGGATTTCATTTTGTATTCAACTCAAATCACCATCAATTGACGACAACCCGATGATGACTGATGAATAATCGAAAACAATCCTGTTTTGAGAGTGTCACTGAGCTCCCGAAAAAAAGACCCGTCTACGGGAGTAGGTGGAGGAGGAGAACGGAAGATTTCGCTGATCTGTTGAACAAACTTATGAGTACTCACAGAGAGAAACGGTGAATTGATAAAATAAATAGGATGGTGGGGATGCAAGAGCAAGTTGGTGTGGGATATTAAAAGTAAGAGGACTTTCTAGAAAAAAGTTTTGTTGGAATGTCTAGTTTGATGCGAAACCCTGAACCCCGAACCTGAAATGCACTGTGTTGATAAATTGATAAGGAGGACTATACATAGAACGAAATCGTCAATTTTGATCTTCAGTTTATCTCCGCTTGTCTGTGATGTTTCATCAAAGCCGCCCTGTAGATATGAAAAGCAAGTTTCTAAGTCTTCCATTCCAACCATGTGACATTTCGATAAATATCCGGAAAATGACAAAGTCAAAACACTAGGAGGAATTCCGAGGAGATGGGAATCTCAGAGAAAAATTGGACATGAGGAATTGAGAAATTGTAACACAAAAAAATTAGGGAAGAAGAGAAACCTAGACTTTCGCCGAATTCTTCTATTTTTACACTCCTCTACAGTAGGATAATTACAGCAATCGACTCGCATTTACACCTTCCCCCATTGTTACCTCATTACATCAGAAAATGCAACTTTCGTCTTTCTTCACCTCTTTAGCCTTCGTAATTCTATTTGTTTTTGAAACTCCACGAACGGTTTTTGCAGTTACGTCACTATCATCATTATCACAATCTCTTCATCCTGTACAGTTCTCTCTATTCCATGCATATTCGAAATTATTCGCAAAAAAAGGATAGGCTACCCCTCCCTTCAGAACACAGGCGAGAGATAGAGTGCGACAGAGGGGGAGGGCAGTCGGCCTGAAGCCCCGCCCACCACTGCCTCGGCCGTATAAAAGGAACAAGGGGGAGGAGAGCAGGCACACTTCGGATCCAGTTTGTCTGTTGGTTTGGTGTGCACCATTCTTCGCACCTTTGGGTGCTCTGCACCAATCCTATAGATCCGACATGTCTTCTACTAAGCCACCATCATTCGAAGCATTCCATCACTAGCTTCATGGCTCTGGCACTTCCTATTCTTCAATCTTCACTTGCCCTCGTCTACACCATCGCTATTTATTTTCAAATGCCACTGAAGGCGATCTTGCCAATTCACCATCAATTCCAATCTTGCGTACTTTCGGACATCTCTGGAGCTGGTCTTCAATCACCAACAAGAAGCTCGATAAGGAACCACATATGCAGTCGTCGATTAGATTGGTTTGCCTCTCATTCATCTCTTTCTTTAATTTTTTTCTCAATCTTTCTTATGGGGTTATTCATGTAGGGAAAATATGTATTGAAATGCATTTCCGCGCCCTCGAAATTCAATGCATGAGCGTCGCGAAATACTTTGAAATA